CAAGCAGGTGTCCTTGGGCAACCTGTCTGTGCTGGGAAATATATGGTGAAAGGAGGAGGGTACTGTGCTGCCTGTAGATACTCCAGTCAGAAGGGACAGAGACATGGGTCTTCACCCAATAGGCAACAGCTGAGGTGCTCTGACCTTTATACCTTCACCTACATGGTGAGAGGGCATCCAGGGAACAGACACTGCCCCAGTGGACACTGCTATTCAAAAGAGCCTGTCTTGCACACATGGGCACATGCACTCCACAAGTGCAATCGGTGTAGACAATCACTCAAAGAACATTTAACACCAGTTACACTGCGGCATCTCCAGTCATGAACTGTTCTTAAAGCCATTAAATTTAGCTTATGTTCACATTCCTGCTTTTGGGAGCTTTATATTAAGTAGCGAAGTTATCAACCCATCAAACCATGCCTCTGAAAGCCTCACAATCCCACTGAAGATGGGAAACCCATCAAGAATAAGCCCAAGGTGGTGGGGCTGCTGGATACCAAGTCTATAAACACATAGTAGAATCCTCATGTTGGTGACTGCAGTGCAATGTTCATGTACACATTGCATTTAACTAGCAATGGCCTTTATTTCTCCCCCACCCCCACAAAAAAAAAAAAAAAAAAAAAGAGAGTTAATTTTGCAAGTTAACTGTGAAAAATATTTAAGAAAATAATCCTAATGGGTCAATGAGTGCTACAAATTCATTAGAGGAAAAATCCCGTGTGCAGAGCTCACTGGAGACTGACTACTCACCACAGGCAATGAGAAATAGCTGACAGGAGTGAGGGAAGATCGGTAGGGTAATGAGGCAGCTCAGGGCACATGCACTGCTCCAGTGGGTACCACTATTGCAAACTCTCTGGCTTCAGACAAAGCCCTCACACACTGAACGTGCAATCACTTGAAAGGAGGGGAAATCAGAAGTGCGTTGAAGAAATTCAGAAGCGGTTACAAAACTGAAGCCAAGTCCTTGTTTGAATGCATCACTATCCTCAGGTGGCAGTTGCTAAACTTCTCCTGAGTGCTTCACCCTATGGGCCCTCATGAGGAAATTTACACATGCTTACAGCTCAGTACAGCTAGTAAGCTGTTTCAAGTGCTTTTGAGAAGAGGATGCAAGGAAGGGTAGAAAAAAATATGTAGTGCCCTAAAACCCGAGGGAGAACCTTGCTTACAGTAGCAATTGTGAATGACAAAATTCCAGAACATAGAGATGAAATTTACTTTCTGAATTTCACACTTCCATTTTCAGTCTTTTAGAATCTACATGCTAAAAATCTGGAAGCTTTAAATAGCCCCCCCCCAAAAAAGTTCTTCCAACTCACCAGAAGTATCTTTTATTCCTCCTGAAGGAGAAGTATGTATTATGCCTATGACGAAAAAGGGACACAGACACTCAAACTTCAGATCACTGTAAAATGGCTACTCAAAAGCAATAAGCTTCCTAAACATCATATAAAAGATTCCACACAACTGCTTATACTTACGTAGACAGGTGGGCAAAGATGGAACCCATGAATTGTTAGCTTCACATTTAACTGAACTGCTACCAGTCAGAGTGTAGCCAGACTCACATTCAAATATTACAATGTTTCCATATGAATAGTCAGGTCCAAACCCAGAGTGTTTTTTTCCATTTTTGACTTCAGGCTCTGGACACTTGACCACTGAAAATTAAAAGTACCAGCATAAGAATGTTTTGCACAGGAAGCAGAGTGTGAGTGAGAGAGAGAGAGAGAAAAAGAAAAAAAAGCCCTGATACATTTTGATGCCTGCTGTAGTCAAGTATTTTAAAATAAAGTCATACAACTTTGGATCTTTCCCTTTAAAAAAAGATGCTAGTCCACATACACCACAGCACCCAACTGTATTGCTATCAGGCCCCTTCCCCACCCTCCAGTAAACTGCACGAGTTAAACATGATCATTGTATGATGCCATCAGGAATTTGGGTCAACCTAGAAGAGATCTACATACAATGACATTCTGGAACTGAACTTCCCTGCTTTTGGGGAAGTTAATATTAAGTAGCAAGATGACCAACCTGCCCAATGCTTCTGAAAAAGCCTCCATCCCAGTTGTTAGGCTGGGTAACTCAGCAAGAATAAAACCAAGTTGTTACAGCTGCTTGAATACCAAGTACATAAATGCATTGTTAGCTAAATGCAATAGTGTGTGTGAGCACTGCCGTCACCCAAATGAGGATTGTACTATGACCTTTATTTCCCCCTCCTAGGAACTTTATGGCTGGGATATGAACTCACAGAAGCCTGAGCCTTCACTGCCAAGGAGCCCTCCCAGAGACTTCTGAAAAATATGGTTTCCAAACAATCCTGCTTGTAAGGCTCTCCCCACCCACTTTAGCACTTGAATAGTAGGATACTGGCATAAAAACAAAACCCTAGTTTAAGAGTTTCTCTCTACCTAAAGTCAACTGTTTGCAGTTAATTCTCACGTCACAGTCTTGGAAAACTGAAGAGAGACAAAATAACATGATGTACAAGAGGCAAAATGGTTTCCAGAAATAAGTAAGTGACATTCCTTCTTTAGAGATTGGGTTTCCAATAGTAACTAGTTTTCAAGATATGTATTTATGGGAAATAAATACAGACTTTTCTCAAAATATAGTTTTTCCTGGAAGGAGATAGTAGAATAAGAAAGGGATAAAAACAGATGCTACTAACCTTTGCATTCAGGGGCAGGCCCACTCCACTCTCCATTGACATCATCTTTCGTTGTACAAAAAACAGAAGCCTCTCCAATAAGAGAGAAGCCCGGGTCACATTTGTAAGTTACTTTTAAGCCAAAGAAAAACTCTTCTCCACTCAGAGCATTATGGGATCCATGGGTGATATCAGGAGGTGGAAGACAAGGTATTACTGAAGCAAAGAATGTCAACATGAAAATTAAAGTTCAAATTGAAGGTGAACTGAAGAGAGTTTTCACTAAGAAAGTTGTCTCAGATCCCCCCAAAAAGCTATGTAGCCATTTGGAAGGGTACTTAATATTGCATTTTAACCGTTGAAGCAAGACCCCTTTCAGATTCTGAAGGTTTTTCTGCTTTTTAGGCTTGATCTAACCCAGTACGTCCATTGCTCAAGGGGGATGCTCCATAAAACACCAACTCTGGAAGATGACCTTAACAGAGCATGCCCCTTCCCAACATGAGTCTCAAGGAGCCAGAACTTCTTGCCCAGCATCTCTAGATGTAATGTTGTTCCACCAGCAGAAAACCAAGCTAGGACATTTCTTGTAGCAGCAGCTGATTCCAGACTGGACCATCAGCAGCATGATTGACAGACCAAGCCCAGAAAGCATCCAAGAGATCAAATTAAGGTAGAGGCAAATTAATTGTGATTCACTCCCAAAGAGCCTCAGACTTTAAGTGGATAGTCAGGTTTGGGAAGGGTCAAAACTTCTTGAAGTCATTATCATGCCTTTTACTTAGTGAACAGCAGGATTACACAGATACAATAGTGAAGAGGTGCTATGAGGCCTGTTGGATTTGAATATTAAACAATCTAAAAGGGACTGTTTTTAAGCATTGATTCTATAGGAATCATCCAAACACCACGGTGAACCACAGGCTGATTTCATTCTCTCTCCAACCAAACATACATCCTCAAGTTTTACTCTTATTTGGATTAAAAGACGTAAGAACAGAGACTTCTCTGTAGCACCAGCTATGCCAAATCATCTCCAGTCATGAATGGTTCTTAAAACAATTAGTTTACCTTTGCAAAATGGAGCCTCCTGATCCCAATCAACTCCATTTTTCACAAGCACACACTGGGCAGAAGTCCGTCCAATTAATTTGTAACTAAAGAAAAAAAAAGATTCAAGTTTATTACTGGAGTAAGCAAGTAACTAGGTTACAGTTCAGAAAGATAGAACATGGTTTCTTTATGCCAGTAGGTGGAGACAAGTGATTGATCAGGGTCATCTCTGCTATAAAACGTGATATGTCTAACACTATAGGACCAAGGAACACTAAGTAATTAAAGGCAATCTAGAGCTATTAACTGGTGAGTATAAGCTTGTACAACTGTTAGGAAGAGAATGCCCTCACTTCTCATCTACACTAGTCAGATGCTTGGGAATGCTTGTTAATTCTCTGCAAAGGGGAACAAGTGATCCTTCTTCTAAACTGGAGATACAAGTAGTAAGGAGTGCAAATATCTCTAAAGGGTGGAAGAGGGCTCTAATCATCCCTGCTATAGAACTTAATAAATGCCCAGGAAACCATGTTATTTTAGACATGACTGGTCTGCTCACAGTGCTTTCACATGGAAAAAGGGTTTCGACTTCCTGGGTAGGAGGCTGTGCCTCATCTGATGTTTCTAAGATGTAGGAGAGTGTTTGAAATGCGAGCTGTCACCATTCTACACCTTAGAACTACTGTGCTTTTATCTGCAGCAGTTCTAGACACCTCTTCGCTGAATGCCCGGTTGTGTTACCCCAATTGTCAATGACTCAGCTTAAGCAGCTCCCCTTACCTTTCCTCCCCAGCAATGTTTTGTAAAATAAAAATCAGACCTAAAGACAACCCATCCTGACAGAAGCGATGGGGAGAAGTCAGCTGCCCTGAGCTGTCATCCACCTGACCCCATCTCCCTTCCATATTCAAACCAGAGCATCTTACTGTCCAACACCCAACCTCACACTAAACCCAGGGAACTCCTGGGCCTGCACAAATCCAAGGCCTTCAGTCCATGTAGGCTACTGCAAAGAAACCCTGTCTACACAAATCCTTCAACTGTGGATCAACCTACTTCACCCAGAAGGCAGGCTGACAACCAATCCACAGAAAAAGGCATTTAGATTGCATGGGGTTTGGCAAGCCAGCCACCATCAGGGAGTTACCTCCCCCACCATCTCTTCTCACTCAGACTGAGAGTCAGCTGCCACGCAGAGACATCTGACTCCTCTTCCCAGAGGGCTTAACTTTAGAGGGCTTGACTGGCAGCAGGGGTTGTGATATAGTGAAGAGGGGGAAAAAAAAAAAAAAAAAAAAAAAAACACCACCACAACACACACCACACACCTGCATTTGTTGGTTGTGTTTTTTGGTCCCCATGCAATGCGATCTATTCAGTTATCCCAACACCCAGAAAGCACCTGCTCAGTGGAATGAAGCCAAAGCCCATTTATGATTCCCCAAGGCTTGCCACAAAACCCACATGGACAAAAGCAACAACTGAACTGGACACTGCCCTGATATCAACATCTATCATGAAGGGACAGAAATATTTGCTGTTGTAGCGTAGGAAGAGGTCTGCTTCTGTCTGGTGCTGTCTTTTATGCGCAATATTCTGCCCTACAATCCCAGCACCTATTCAAGACACTAGGACTGACCAACGACAGCCCTTGTAACATGGCAGAAATGGCACCAATCAGTGAGTGCCACATTACTCTTCAGGTGGGGCTTTCCCTTAGGACTCATGATCCAGCAGCTGCTGGGATGACCTGTTGAAGGTGTAGGTTGGGATTTCCAAAAGCACCTGAGTGAGTTAGGTGCCCATCTCCCAACAAAGAACAGCCATAAATGGGTGACTATCTTCCTTCAACACCTTTGAAAGTCATAGGTGTAATTCTTAACAAGGGCCCAGCCCATAGCTACAGATTTATAGCACATGACTCACTTATGTTAAGTGAAGTTATGCAGGCTTTCTAGTCTCATTTTGCCAGACTTCACATGCAGTTTTACACCAGTCTAGGTTCTGTTAATTAGTCAAAAGAAGCAACTTGCCACTCACCCTTCATTACAGGAGAAGTTTGCTGTTGCACCAAGCCGGAAACTGGTTAAATCAACTCTGCCATTTTCTAGTTCTAGTGGTTTACATGGTCTTCCTAGAA